GGAAGTGTCTATAGGGTACTGCATCCAAACCAATCACCACAACAAGGTGAGTGGCTCTGTAAAGGCTTCTTCTTCTCCATACACCCTGTCTTGCCATCTTTCTTAATCCAGCTGGAATAATTCCTTTTCTTGATATCAAAAAAAAAAAAAAAAGCAAAATAGGGCTGACCGCATGTGGTTAAAAACCTCTTGCATTTTTCCCGTGCTTAGTGCACACGAGGGACCTTCCCTGAGCAATATTATCAGTGTGTTTACGCTCAACTGACCCATCTCAAGTATGATTTTTTTTTTTAAGCTCCATTTCAGCCCCCCCCCCCCGTTCTCCCCCCACCTCGAACTGCTTCTTTCAGAGCAAGAACAAGGAAGGAAATTGAAAATCCCAAAGAGCCCTGGACGGTCCAGATTTAGGGCTTTAGCTTTTGTTCGCACAAACTCACTTGGCTCCTAACCGGCCTCCACCCATGATCCCGACATCCGCAGCAGCCGTTCAAAACAGAGCACAGAGCCCGGCCCCGGCAGGGACCGCAGCCACCCCTGCCACCCGCTGCGGGGCCAGAGCCCCGGCTCTGCTCCCCACTCCTTCTCCCTCGTAGCCTGCCTTTCTTCCTAACCTTTTCCTACAGCCCGCAAGGAGTTTTCCAAGTTGAGATTAGCTTTTTTTTTTCCCCCTCTGCGAACCTCGGATGATGTTAAGATTATGCAACGTTAACAGATGTGGGCTTTGCAATTATAGCTGCCTGTCCTCGGGAGGAGCCTGCTTTAGCTTCACGCGCGCACAGCTCTGCATGGGATGCTCCCGGGGTGGCCCATTGCCCTGGCAAAACAGCTGCTACATGGGCGGCCGTACCGGGAATGCTCCCCAGGGAATCGCCGCCCTCCCCAGGAGGGACTGCTGCGGAGTGAAGGGCTACTCTGGGCAGCCGATCTACTGCTCTTGGCTTTCCTTATGTGCAAAGTCGGATTAAATTTGTGTTCCCCAGGCAAGAAAGCATTTTTCTGCCCTTCGAGGAGAAAAAAATCCCATGTGCAGGAAAGAAGTGGGGCTGGGATAGCTTATGGTGTGCCTTGGCTGGCTGCAGTGCTCCTGCCAGGTGCTGTCTGTGGGGATGCTGCTCCCGGGGTGTTAGCAGGATACATCCCTCCTCTCTCCCTGCCCTAAAATATCTGTGTGAGATCACAGTCATGGCAGAAAAATTTTGGTGTTGTGCTGACCCATGACTGAGTCTTGAGCATCACCATGATGCTGCCCTGGTAGCAGCCACCTCTGGAACAGGGCAGTTCCCGTGCTGCATCAGGAATGGAGTCAGAAAATTGTTGGTCCAAAAGGGAATTTTCAGGAGTCTCACAAGGTAGATATCCAACTGGGCTGCCAGGGGCAAGCCCAAAGCCTCCAGAAATCAGCTGGAACTTGATCTGTTTGTCCTGGCTGAGCTATAACTCAGCTCGCAGCAAGCTGTGGACTTGTTATGCTTGCAAAGAAAAAGTAACTCCAAGCCTCGACCTGTCTGGTGAGCATCACTGCTAGTTTTAACTAGGAAGGAAAACACGGGTGCAGTGGGTGGCAGGAGGGTTTTGTGCTGGAAGTCAAATACTTGTCAATGGCTGTGGTCGTGTGGAGTTAAACCATGGAAAGCAGTTGGCAGCTTAGGATGTGACAAAATTGTTAGTGACAGATCAGCACCTGAGTTAAAGGGCCGCTCTGCTTAAAGCCTTTAATGCATCAGGGGAGGCCAGATGGTCCTGTGTGGATTTTTTTGGAAGAAGTTTGATCTAGTCTATCCGCTCCAGAGGAGGGTTGTCTTTGAAGTCTAATGTCTGCAGGCAAATCAAAAAAGAGATTGTGTTTGTCTTGCACTTCTGGCAGGCTTGATGGATGTGTGATCAGCTGAGATTTCATGTCTATTTTGTTGAACAACCTGATTTTTTGGGGTTTCGTTACTACATGCTGTGGGTTGGATTTTCCAGCATGGCTCATACTCTGCACCCAGTGAACTGGGGAGCTGAGCCCATGCTGGCACGAAGTTTTCCTCCCTGCACCAGGACCTGGCATACCTTGCATGGCAGAGTTAAAAATGCCAGATGACTCTAAAAAGCCTGTGTAAATAATACCTTCTTATTCAGCCCCTCCACGATCCCTGGCTGCACTAAAAGCCAGGTTTGCTGGCGCCCACGATAAGGGGAAGGGTTGTGCTTGAGTTTATTCCCAGCAGCTCTGCAGAGCCAAAAGAGGATAGAGAAAACTCTGAGGTGGATTTCCAGGGCAAACAACCACCAGACAAGAAACCAACAGTGTTTTACTTTTGAACTGGTTGCATTCAATCAAGGTTCGTAGCTGAAGGCACTGTTTACCGGCATTTCCAGGGTTACTTTTTAAGAAGGGGCAATGGAATGCCTGCTGTGGTGTCCTGCTATATATTTTAGCCTGCCTATCCTGAGCTCATGTTGACAAATGACTTGGCAACCTGGGAAAGCAGATTTGCCTCTGTCTATACTCATCCCCTAAGGGTTTCTTTAAGCATCTGCTGCTTTGCCTTCTCTCTGTGCAGCAAAGCTGGCCCCTGAGGCTTTACAGTCAGTACGGGCTGCACAGCTGAAAGCTTTTAGTGAGAGGGGAATGGAGAGAAATTCAGTGTGCTGCCCTGCAGCATGCTCACAATTTTCAGGGCTGCTATAAATGGACTTGTGGGCTACAATTACAGGCTGGGTATTGGCTTGCAGATGAACATAGCAAGTGTCCCCTGCCACTTTGCATCCCTTTGTCAAGATCGGGAGGACAAGAAGGTTGTTTCATGGGACAGGAGGTGGCTCACAGCGGGCTCTGGGTGGCAGCAGCTGCTTGGCTACTTGGTACCCCAGTGGCTCTGCTCCACTACAGCTCTTCTCTCCTTGGCCCTCTTGGTTCTCAGACTTCCAGGATGAAATACAGACTGTCCCACGTACACCTCTTTCTTTTTGGTGAGTTCCCACTGGAGCTATTGCAGATGGATAGAGGACAGCGTTTCGAAAATTACCACTTCAGTCATGGCAGGTGCAGCAGCTCCAAAGGGGACATACAAGACAAGGGAGAGGTGTCCCACCGGTGTTTCTCTGAGATACAATTTTTTTATAGAAAATGCTCCGAGGCCAAAAACAGATGCAAAGCTTAGCCTTCAACATCAGAGCTTTTGGGCAGAGATGGTGCCTTTAGCTGCTGCTTGTGTATCATCCATAGCCCTGTTGATGCCATGCACATGACATGCAGGACAAGTCCCATAGCCTGGTCTATCTCTGAACTGCAAAGTGGGGAGAGTTCCCCTCCCAAAACTGCAGCTTTCTTAGCCAGGCTCCCATTCTGCCTACTCAGTAAGAAAAGTGTGCATTGTGCTACTTTAGCCCAGGGGCTGTGTTTTGGTTATAAGGAAGATGGACAAAATTGGGATCTTGTTGTTTCAGATTTGGACTTGCTTTGACTTGTTGTGGGCTTTGGAGATCATCTGAGGCTGCAGTGCCAGTCAAGTCTCAGGGCTGTAAAATAGATGGTGGCTGCTGGTTTTTGTGTGATTGATGTGCAGGGGAATCCTCACACAGCCCTAGGTGGTACCACAGGCTGGAAACCCCAATTCCTCCAGCAAATCTCACAGGAACCACTCAGAACAGCTGTTACTAGTTGCTCAGCTCCAGGCTGGATGACAGACCCCAGGCTGAAGCTACAGCTACTGCACCAAGTCCTGCTGCTGCTGCTGCTGCTGCTGCTGCTGCTGCTGCTGCTGGCAGTCAGTGTTAATGACTGAGATGAGAAGTTGGCTATCAAGTAATGTCTTCAGTCCTTTCTGAGGACTTATTTGGGGAATATGTTTGTATTCCAGGGATGCACACAGCTACCTGTGTACTTTGGAAGATCCCTTAAAGCATGTAATGCCTGTTAATGCCCCTGTGAGAAGTAATTTTTGGGTCCATGAGATAGAGCTGATAGTAGAAATGCAGAAGAAACTTGTGCAGAGAGGGGAGGAGGTTGCTGCCGTTAGACATCACCATGGTGGGGAGCAACTGGAGGCAGAGGAAGAGCTAGCAAAGCTAAAGGGCAATGCTGGCTTGGGAACCAACATTTATTCCATAAATGTGTTTTCTTCATTTTCTATTGAAAAAGGAAAATTACTATGAATGATGGGAGTGGTGGGGATTTGGAGCAGCCTTGTAGCAGGAGCAAGAGAGTAGACTGAAACAAGGTCTATGCAGGGTGAGTAGGGGCTATGGCCATGTTTGCTCACAGAAAATGGACATGTAGATGCACAAACTTCGCCTTGTTTCTCATATTCTGATAGACATTACTGTCAGATATGCCAAAATGTCCATCACCTTGGGATGCTTCAGTGTCTGGATGGGCAGTATAATCCCCACCATGCACTGATCTCTTCTGTCCCTGGTCCCTTGTGGTGTCTGGATGGGTTATGCCGACCCTCCTGACTCCCCTACATTTCTCAGCCAGCTTCCCACCAGCTCTCTGCAGGTGATGGAATTCGAGGTCAGGTGTGAAACAAACACCAGCCAAGTGCTCATTGCGGATAGAGATCTGGATCCCTCTCCTCTCCCATCTTACACTCAGGATGGGGCACGTGGGCTGTGCTGGGCTCCAGCTGCCCATCAGCTCAGGAGGCCTACATACTCTTCCCATGGACTCTACACTGTGCCTATCTCCATCAGTTATTTGTTTCAGACTTTTCTTTTGGCTTCTTTAAAGGCTTATTTCTCCTAACACACACACACAAAAAAAAGTATGAGGGTGCTGAATTGAATTAATCTTGTGCACAAAGGTGGGTTTCGGCATTTGATCCCACAGACCAATCTAATTTCCACGGGTGTAAATCCAAAACTAAATGTCAGGTCTCTGCTTTGATGATGCAAATTTTTTCTGTCGTGTAAGTAAATGAGCTCAGAGCTTGGCCTTGGTGTTACTGCAGTGAGCCGAGCCTGCACAGCCAGTGCTGATGGGATCTAAATTCTTTTCTTGTTTTTCCTTTTAGTCATTGAAAGCAGCTATCAGGAGGGAAGAAGTTCAAACACAGGGATAAGGACTCCTGGTGCTCTGGTGGACAGTGTGGAGCTGGTGACGATGCTGGCTGGGAGCAGGGAGTGGGCATCACTTCCTGCCAAGCACGGAGCGGTGCCAGCGGGGAGCAAGGTCATGGGGCACATTGGTCCTCTGGCTGGCAATGGGGATGTCACCCCACCGGGAGCAGGACCCCCAGACAACCCATCTGCTGGGACAGCAACCCACCTGCCCACCCACAGCCATCCTCCTGGTGAGTTTTATTGATGGGAGGGTCCTGGTTTGCTGTGCCCAGCCCATGGACTGAGCATAACCAGTGGGTTAGGAGGTGTTCCTGCCCCACGGCTACAAATGCAGACTTTTGGAAGAAATCCAGTCTCAGGAAAGCTGATTTTTTTTTGTTTAACATTACAACAAAGATGATTCTCAAGAGCTGCCACTGTTTTTCACCACCCAGCAGTACCCACAGAGTCCTGCCCATCCACAGAGCGCAGAGCAGAGACCCCTGGGCATTCCCACACCTCCTTCCCCGGAGGAGCTTAACCCCATCACAAACCCAACCCAGGTTATAAGAGCCCGAGTTAAGGATGCCTGACCAACTCTGTCATGATTTGTAGCTGAGGTCTTCACATGGAAATCCTGCAAGTGAACACTTCCCTTTGGGCTTGTTCATAATCTTCAGCCATAAGTAAACCAATGTACTCTTCTGAGCATGCACTTAAATCAAAGCCTGTTTCCCACAGCAGCAGAATAAGTCTGTGCTGATCATCCTGTCCTCACCTCAGTTTTTTTTTTCTTAATGTCTCCGTCTGAAATACATGTCTGAGATGTGAGCATAGAGGTTTCCTTTAATTTTTTTAATTCCTTCTTTTTTTTTTTTTTTTTTAGAGACTAAAATGTGGAGCTGGCATGCCCAGGCTGCCAGCTGCTGGCTGTCCTGGCATCAGCTCCTTACTGCTTTCTGCATTTTTAATGTCTTTAAAAAAAAAAAAAAGTGTTTCTTTTACCATTCACAAATGAAGACAAAGTTTGAAATGCCATTAATTTTTGGTGGCAGAAACCCTCTGTTCCCGCCAATTCCTCTTGTAGTTAAACTGTGCTCTGTTAAACAGAGGGATGCAGCTGTGACCCTACCTATTGCAGGGTAGGGCTGGGTACCACTGCAGGTGATGCTGCTGCCACCCAGCCAAGACGAAATAATTTTTCAAGGGGAACATGACCCTCTCTGTGTTTCTTTCCAGATGCTGGAAGCCATCACCATGCTGTAGGCAGCCAGGAGAGAGGCAAGAGGGCTCTGGCTTTTCCCAACAGCCCTGCAGCTGCTGAAAGGACACCACCAGGCTTGAAAACTGTCAGCACTGATTCGGCTGAGGGGACACAGGGTGGGCACCGTGGGGTCTGGAACATGTTGGGGTTTAACAACACGATGAGGACAGTGCTGCTACCTTCATCTTCAGAATCTCATCACCCAGGTGAGCCATCCCAGTTCAGCCTGAGAACACTGAGCAAGTGTTCCAACACTGGGGAAAAAGGTGCTGTTGAGCAACTAGGCATTGGTTAAGCATCACAGAGCTTTGTGGATCCAGCTCTCCACTATTTGCTCAGGGCAGTTTTCTGACTTGCTTCATGCATGAGGGCAGAGAGAAGTACCCATATGACTTCTCCTGGCATGGAAAAATATAAATTACTTGGTGCAGCTCCGAAACACAAAGTTACTGTGAGCATAGTGCAGACAAGGGCCTGTGGTCTGCGAGGCAGGTGGAGGGTAACAGCAGGGGATGCTGGGTGGGCAGCTAAGCCCATCTCTGGGCTCTCATTTGCTTTCCCCTGTTCTCTTGCAGGCACTGACAGCCCCTCTCGACTGGCGAGCAGCTGGGTGGGCACAGAACTGTCCAGCAGCTCCCCCGTGGACACTGCAGCCACTTCACCCAGCCCCTCCGGGAGCAGTGGGGGAACCAGCCCCGGCACTGCCCTCCGTGGCTCCCTGAGACAGCCCCAATCCTCCCCCCGAGCTTCAAGTACCCAGACTGGTGCAGACCAGGTCATGCTACACCTCAGGGGTGTCACAGGGAACTCCACAAGCCCTTTGCTCACAGCATCGCCTGCCACTGACAGCGCTTTCAGAGGTGAGCTCTGCTGGCCCACAGCTTTGTTTTATAGATTTAAAAAGCCTTTTTATAGCTTTTGCTTTCTTGAAACAGAGAAGATGCTCTGTTTTGCGTGTGCTCTGTTTTTTATTATTTGGATGGTTAGCTGAAATTCCCTGCTGAAAGCAGGAAAAAGCAGTGGAAAAAATAATTTGATCCAAACCCCCAGCATTTTCCACTTAAAAAAAGGTTCTTTGGACCTTATCACAGTGTTTTCTGCAGGGTGGGTGTCTGCAGCTGTGAAATATCTCCACTGGTCCAGTGCCAACTGCAGAGCCAGGGCAGCTCCCAGCCCCACCTGAGCTGTATCTCCCACCCGAGTGGTGCTGGAGTGGGACAGGAGGTTGGGAACCCACACTTATGGCCACACCGAGTGGGTTTGCCCTCAGCTAGACAGGGTGAGATGCCTGTACTTAACAAATTGGCTTCCCCTCGCTTGCTCTGCAGCAGCCGACTTCTGGAGCTCTCAAAAACAGACTTTGCCCCACTCCACGTGAACTTACTGAAGACCTGTGTTGCTGAGTCCTTATCCTGTGCCCAGGGCAAGCACATCTCTGGGGTTCTCACAGTGACATGTCCCTTCCCTCTGCCACAGCTGTTGGGAGCAGCACCAGGGCTGCAGAAAAGAAGAAATCTGGTATCCAAAGGACAGCACCTGGCTTCACAGCTCAGCCCCTGGCCTCTGTGCCCTCCTCAGTGGCCCTGGCACAGGGACGTTTCCCTGGGCCTTCCACGGAGCACCAACTTGTCCCTTCTCTCCCAGCTTTGGAAAGCACTGCCACAGGTGAGCTCAGTTAGTCTACAGTTTGTTCTTTTACCCTCTTTTGTGCTTCCTTAAATATTTTTCCCATTAAGCCCTGGGATGTGTAGTGAACTGCAGGCTCATATGGCAATGTGGCTGCACTCAAGTTTCCTCCCTTTGCTGTTTGATGCAGTTTTCAAGCCACAGAAAAACCACTAAGAGAGCCTGGGCTGACTTCCACCAGTCTTAGAGCAGAGGTGGGATTTAAAGGCAAGTCTCTGCAGTCCTTTTCCCATGGGGTTTTCTGCTGCCTGAGCCACCCTGCTCTCGTGAAGCCTGGCAGCAAGCCCTGAGTTTTGTGCAAGGTCTTCCTGCGGTGAGGGGATTCATGCCTTTCCAAAAGAGCACTTTGTCCAGATTGAAAACTTCCCATGCTTAATATCTGTATGTGTGCTGTAAGCATCTGGGAAGAAAATGGATCCATCTGTTTATAATTTCATATGTATAAATCCAGTTTTTTTATTGTACTGTAGCCGTTGGAAGCAGCTACCAGCCATCCAGCAACTCAGCCACGGAGAGGAGAGCTTCGGATTTCCCTGCCACCAGTACCTCCATTTCCACAACAGCCACCAAGGGTGGAGGGAGGACGTTAAGGTCTCTGCCAGCCAGCACTGGGCTGGTCAGTGTGGCAGAGATTTCCACCTCTGGCACTGAAATCATCAGCTCTTCAGCCCAGACCCCTGGGATGTCTATGGGTGCCCAGGACGGTGATGGCAGAGGTGTCACAGACCCCTTGCTCACAGGCTTGCCACCTGCTTCACAAAACACTTCCACAAGTGAGTTCTGATATAGCTGTATATCTCAGAACGTTATTTAAAGATTTATTATTAACAAAATACATCCTTTTTACTTTAAAGAAAGGAGGAATAATATTGTGTTTGGCACATTCTGTACATTTAAAAACATTTCACAGAAATGAAAGTATGGATAAATATTATTCCTGTTGGAAGGGGAGGATAGATTTTCCTTGAAAACTTTCAGTGAAATTTTGCTAGCAACAACTTCAGCAGTTCCTATTTAGAGACCATTTTTTCCCCATCTTAATGATTTCCCAGTATTAAATATTTCCGTATTGAATATTCACACATATGTTGTCTACATCTACTGACAGTAGATGAAAGGAGGTGAGGGGTAGTAGATGAAGTAGATAGGGATGAAAACTACCCAGGAGTTTTCATTTGTGTGTATGCAGTTTTGTATTTCTTTTCTCCTTTTTCAGCCTTTAGCAGCAGTTACAAACCCAAGAGTGTCCCAGCTGCAGAAGAGGCGACGCTGCACTCAGGCACACATGGTGCTGACGTTCCTGGCGTGGCAGTGGGGACTGCAAATGGCCACATAGCTGGGCTGACAAGAGGCTCTGCCACCAGCACCGGCCCCACAAGCTCTTTGGGGGTGACCTCCTCCTCCTTAGGGACTGGGACACATCGTCCCAACAGCTCACGGGAAGCTACTGATCTCCCAGCCCCCCCCGGGGATCCTTTGCTCACAAGCTCTGAAAGTACGTCCAGAGGTAAATCTGTTGGTCTGAAAGCTGTCTGCCTTGGGGCTGGATGAGACTTCACATCCCTGCACTGTTTTTCTTTGGATACAGCCATCAGTCACTATTGGATACATGGATGTTTTTATTACTGTCTGCACAGGGCTGGCAGCGGGGTGGGTGGGAAGGGGGAGAGTGGATCTCAGCTTTTGGGTGAGAAAGTGAAAAACATCAACGTTCTTATTGCTAATGAAACTCCTGTGCTGGGAAGAGCATCAGTTAGAAATACATGCACACACTTTTACCATGCCAGAGACACTTGCTGGGGATTTGCAGCTGTCGTCTCATGCTATGTCTGCCATGCAGGCTGGTCTGTAGGACATGGGTTTTTGATTTTCATGGCTTTTAGTAAGGCACATGTGGCTTGAACTTGAGAGATTCACCTCTTCTCAGAGCAACTCAATGGACAGTTTAGAAATGCACACCATGCAAACAGTCACTCAAATGTATATAGCTCTGTATGCATAAATCAAACCCTGGTTTATTGTATCTTAGGTGTCAGAAGCAGCCAACGACCAGTTAACAGCTCAATGGCAGAGAAAAACCCCCTCCTTTCCTCACCCACCAGCGATTCCATTTCAGCCACGGGCAGCAGCAGGGGTGGGAGGACCCCGAGGTCTGCCACGGGCAGCAGCCGGTGGGCAGCAGAAGTCTCCACGTCCAGCAGTGGCACGTACAGGGCCTTGGGCACAATCCGATCCTTGTCCACATCTCCTGTGAGAGAGACCTACAGAGTTCACGGGTCCATACAAATGACGGATTTCACCGAGCGGGTGGTAGACTCTTCCCTAACACACTCTCACTCTCCTTCGGAAGACCCTTCCCCAGGTGAGCTCACATTAGAAAGGAAATACCATTTTTCTTATAAGCCAAAGGAGGATTGTTACTGCAGCTTGCACTTGCCCGACTCTTTTCTACTGTGCATAATATACTGTTTGGAAGGATGCAGTGTGATTTTTGCGTCTGAAATATTTCAGCTCTTGCTTGACTAAAAATATGTGGTTTAAATTTTTTTACAGAAGGGGCACATGTGTGGAAAGTTCCATCACGCCAAGAAAAATAATTAACGTTCAAATAGCAATCCTCTTTTAATATCTCCAGTTGCTATCTCCGTGTTATAGGCAAGAGAACTAAGCAAGTGAGGATTAGATCATGTCCCTGCAGTCTTGGCGATCAGATTTCAGTTCCTACCTTCTGTCTTGCCTCTTGGACCGTGCTGCTTCCCAGAAATTGAACCAGCTCAACAAATTTAGGGCAGCTTTGAATGTGATCTCTGAGGTCCTTCATGCTGCTTTTGGTCCTTCATACTGTGGTGCTGAAGGGTCTGATCGCCCTGATACTATTTCTTCAGACTTCTCAGCATAGTACCTTGTCTGAACTGATTGCCAGGCTTTTCTGGGTTGTCATGATATTTGTTCTAGCAGCATGGAGTGCACTCAGGCACATAATGGTAAAATCGAGTGTATGGCATTAGTATGTCAACAGTTTTTATATAATAGCACTTTTCTCAGCATAAAACTATGTTTTTTAGAAGACAAATTTTTCTAGGAAGGATTTATGTATTTGGAAATTTCCTGTTTTCTCTGGATTGACATCTTCTCATATTTTCTACTTGTGTTTGTACTTGCTGCCTCTGGGTGTTACTGAAAGAAAGTTCAGTTTTATTTATAGTTTCATATGTGTAAAAATGTAAATTGTTTCTTTATCACATTTTAGTTCCTGGAAGCAGCCATGTGTCATTCAGCATCCTGTCAACAGAGAGAACCAATTTCCCCACCACTGGCACCTCCGTTTCCGGAACAGGCACCAAGAGTGGAGGGAGGACGTTAAGGTCTCTGCCAGCCAGCACCAGGCTGGCCCAAACGACCGAGATGTCCACCACTGGTACCGAAAACATCAGCTCTCCAGGCCATTCCCAGTCTTCTTTGGGAACCCCAGGTGGTGGAGACAGAGGTGCCACCGTGACGTCCACGAATCCATTGCTCACAGGCTCACCATCTGCTTCGGAAAGTGCTTCCCCAGGTGAGCTCTGGCCACGTCTGTGGGGCTTCTGCCTGTAGACATTAGACTTCTGTGGAGAAGTGAGGATATGCTAGAATGTGCTGGACAGTGGTGTTGGACGTTATGGATGAAAATTTCAACTTCCAGGGAAAAATGGAAGTTTCTTATATTTAGTCACCAGAAAAACCCAGCCTTACTCCAGAGCAGTCTGGCCTTGAGATTTGCTGTGTTTTCAGAGACAGCACAATTTCAAGTCTGCCCCATTGGCTTTGTTTATACAAGCAGAAGCAGCACCAGTCATTCCTGACTCCCATCCTGGGGTGCAAAGGCAGTATATACTGATCCCATACAAGCCTGCCATGCTTTGTTCTGAGTATCAGGAATTTGGGTGCTGCATAATCTCACCTTGCTCATTGCGGGTGCTGAGGTGGCAGTGTGGGCACGTGGTGCCCATGGTGGGACTGCGGCACCGGGAGCAGTACTGAAGGGAAGCAGACCCAAAAGTGCTCCCATGACTTGTTTCTAGTACCCTCTTCAGGGTGTCTTCCTGTGAGCAGCACCTCCTTGCACAGAAAGGGGTTGTGTCTTCACAATTAGTGTTTTCTTCAGGTTTGGATCTTCTGACACGTTCTATCTGTGCCGTCAGCCTGAGGGCAGTGGTGGAAGAGAGCACACCTGCCTGTTCATAGCTTAGAGCGCATAAATCCATTTTGCTTTGCCCTTTCTCAGCAGAAGGGACCTCAGCAACGGGAGGACACCTGCCTCTCACCAGTACACCCAGTGCAGGGATAATCACCACTGGTCAGGAGAGGAGTGTTGTGCCCGTGTTGGACACCCATGGAGCATCCAGTGCAGCAGGGAGTTCTGCTCCCACTCCACCCCGCACCAGCACCTTGGACGTGGTCCTTCTGCTGTCCTCATCAGCAGAAGAGCCTGGGAAGCAGAGTGACGTTTCACAGGGTGATGCTGGACTCAGTGAGCTTCCAACAAAGCTGCTGCCTGCATTTTCTCCCAGCATCTCAGTGCCTTCTCCTTCACCAAGTGCTTCAGGTGGGTCTTGTGATTTCCCAGTTTGCTGTGGAGGACATCCCTCCTCCTCACCTGCTTCCCAAGCTCCCAACCTTCCTTTTCTAGCTTTAAACTATATTTGCAGTTTTAGTAAGCCTGGTTTATAGTGAAGGGCATCTGAGCACTGCACGGTTGGTGAGTTACTCACCTCATGGCACTTGAGGCAGAGCTCCTTGTGTCAGGAGCTGGACAGCCAGGCAGCTCTTCTGGGCCACTTGTGAAGGCTGCCATGGAGCCTCGGCCTCAGCCTGAAACCTGGGGAGCCTGGCACGAGATGTGGTGGAGGACTGGTAGACCTTTTGCCTTTCCTTATATCCCAGTTATTGTATGTTTCAGCCTCAGCTCTGCTGCCAGGGTCACACAAGAGAATGGTTTGAAATTCACTGGTCTGCCCAAGGGAATTTTCTGCAGGACATTCAAGACCATGTTCTACCTCCCTGCCATGATTGTCCTTCAGAAAAACCATGCACCCCAATCTGTTCTATTTTTCTGGTGTAAAGGGGAAAAAAAGGAAAAGTACAGACAATCTGGGAATCCCCCTTAGCAAATAAGTGATGTTCATCACCAAGTGTCACCTCTGCTGTGGGGGTTGAAATATTCAGATTTGACTACTGGTAGAGGCCTCAAAGGTATTATTAATACACAATGTGTGTATATATATATGTATGTATATCTGTGCTTTGCAATTTCAGGGAGAGGCAGAAGAGTTTCTGGTGTTCCTACTGAGACCACGTACATCTCGACCACACTCTCCAGCCACAGGGAGGGGACATCTCAAGCTGCAGCTAGCCACAGCATGTGGAGCACAGAGGCAGAAAGCCTCACATCTCACCTGGACACAGCTGGGGGGACCCGCATTGGCCCCCTCCCATCCTCCACAGCTTGGCCTGGGGTGAGACACATGCCATCTGGCCAAGCAGGGTACCCAGAGCCCAAGGTCACCATCTCATCCAGGGTCTTCACCTACTTCTCAGCTGCTGGTGAACCTTCCAGTGAGTTTTTCTGAACTCTGGGATAGTGTTTGACTGCTGCTCCCTTCCCCTCCTCCATGGTGTTGATATGACCACTAGCACCTGTCACAGCTGTTGCAGGTGTCATGGGTAGGATTTATAAATGGTGGTGGTTCTGCCCATTAGTGTTGTATATCCGCAGCTGTTGATGCTCAGCAGGAAAGGCCTCAAGAATGAGACGTAGCTTGTCGCTGTAGGACACATCAACTGCTTGTCTGGGTTGGAGTGATAATTATAAATAACATAAATATACTATTATGACTCTAATGGTACTAGTTGTCCCTCTGGATTTAGTCCTGTTTTTTGGAATAGCCTTTTTGTGTCAAATCCACATTTAAGATAGATAGATATGTGAGATCTACTTCATATGTTTTTAATCTGTGTTTATCTGTGCAATTTTATTAATCTGCATTTCCAAACAGAATTATTGTAGAGCTCACAAGATGCCTGCTTTTTGATCCTGTTCCAGCCATTAGCAGCAGCCATCACTCCCTAAGCAACTCAAGTGCTGAGGAAAGGGTGTCCAGCCCCGTCACTGATCCTGTGTACAGTTCATCCACGTCTGCCGGTGGTGAAGAGAGGATACTGCACTCCGCAATGGATGGCACTTTGGCTGGTGGCATGGAGAGATCTTCTTCCTATGCCAAAGCTGCCAGCTCTCCAGGACCAGCTAAGCCAACATCAGTGGAACATGGTGGGACAGCCAACACCTCTGCCAACAGTAGGGACTTCACAGACCTTGCAACAGAGACTGTCTTTGTACGTTCTTCCAAGATACCCACTTACTCTTCTTTCCAAAATGATCTCACAAGTAAGTTGATGTCCCCTGCTGTACATTTTGGGGGAATTCATGTTTTCCTGTTTTTATCTATGTTGTACATAAAATTCTTATTCATTACTACATGCAATGCCACCTGTGAGTTCACTCAGGGGGTTATTTTCATCAAAGGACTCAAAGCCCGAACACACATAGATGGGAAACTGTTCCAGAAGTGAAATCATGAACCCTCCTTTTTTGATGATTGCATTACTTTTTTTGCATCCTAACCAGTCTCTTTTGGATGATGCTTTCAGAAGTGTTTCATGATGACCTAAGTCAATTGTGAAATTAAACCAAATTTTCAATACCTTATTTTTTTTTAGAGATGGCTGTACATTTGTATTATGGGATTGACTTTACCTTTTATGCTAAATAATCTGAATTTTTTGCAGGCGGATGTGCTATTCATTTAGGATTTCCTAACTGCAAAGTTTTGAATCAATGAGTTTATGATAAGCTGGAAATTAGCATAATGTAATAATTTCATCTTGCAGAGGCATAAGTTCACTGTGTCTAAAAACAAATTGAAGAAGATGGATATTCTGTAGATGGGAATGGAGGATAAAAGGAAGAGGTTATGAGTTTTTTAAATTACGAGTGATAAAGAGAACAGATGGGTTTTCCTGCTTAGCTTGCAACAAATATCATGGAATGTTAAGTGCTCAATCACTTTAGAAAAGCAATACGTGAAGAACAGTGTTTTGGAAACCTACACGTTTCACTGGAGCCTTGTGTCTGTCAGGGCTCCCCATTTTAGAACCAATTAAAGAGTGCACAAGACCCGTAATTCCATACCCATGCTTGGATGGCGCTCCAAATTTTTAGAAGAGCATGGACCAGTTCACAGACAAGAACATCATCTGTATTTAACAACTGGTTTTAATACAACATCAAATTACTTTCATATTACTCTGTCTTTCTAATATATTTTGTCCTTTTACTCCAGACTTTTCAGGTAGCCATCAGCCAGTCAGTAGCATTGATGCCACTGAGAAAAGGACCTCTGTTTCTCATACGGATGGCACATACATTTCAACCACATATACCAGAGGAGGAGAAAGGACCCTCCTGTCTATCTCCAATAACAGCACCTCTGCTGACTCCTCAGAAAGTTCCACCTTTTTTTCTGAAATTTCCAGCCCTTCTGATGCATCAAAATCTTCTGTGTCTCGGGACAGGTGGACCAATGCATCGAGTGATAGCAGTTTTGTTGAACCATCTACAGAGCCACTACTGGTACACTCTTCCAAACTGTCGACTTCTGCTTCTACAGGCAGCATAGAAAATACAACTGTCTTCAACACTGACTCTGATTTGTTGGTCACTAACAGATCATCTCTATCTTCATCAGCATTTCCAGTGTCTTCCTCACTGTCATCGCTGCATCACTCGCTGTCATCAACGCCACCACCAAGTCATCTGTTCACACCGTCAGAATCACCTGAGCCACACTTGTCCTCTGTGATGGCATCTTCACCCCCTCTGCAGGCTTTGTCATCCTCCTTGCCCACTTCCTCATTGCTCTCCCCATCTTATTCATTAGCATCTTTATTGCCTCTGTTTTCATCACCCTCACCCATCTCGAAGTCCAATGACAATGATCAAGCAAGCATCACTGTAGCTACAACGGTGGTCAGGCAGGTGCCCTCCACAGCTGCCACGGCTGGGAGCTCACCCAGAGAGACCAACAAGCACAGTGTCACACACCAGCCCCAAAACAGTACCACCTTCAACTCCACCGTGTCTCCTCTCCCTACGGCACCTATGGAGCTGCTTGGTGGACACACTGTGTCTGTGTCCACTCCTGTCACAGTAACAGAGACTGCCTTGCCTAGAACTGCCACCACCCAGGAGGGCAGCTCTGAGAAGGCAACACCACTGCTCACCACAGCCAGTCTTGCTCCACGGGCTGGTCCAACAGCCCTTAGTCCCTCACCAAGTGCAACAAACCACAGCAACATTGTCCCCGCAGTGGCACTGACCACTGTCAAACCTCCTGTACTGACAACACCGGCCAGTCGCCGGCCAACCCCAGGTGAAGCTACCACCACAAAGGACCACAGAGCTCAAACACCCACTGCCACTAAGCACATGTATACCACTGGTGAAAGGACAGAAGCTGTGGATCCCACCACTGCAAAGCCTGGTAAAGTCACCGAGGAAAACATCCCTGTTACAAGTCCTTCTGAAACCACTCCAACCATCAAGACCACTGTGAGAATTGCAACTACTTTGGCTGCTACCAAACCAACCAGTGTTCCTCCATCCAGTAGCACGGCGGGGCTGAGGACATCATCTCCAGCAACAGGTAATGTGTATAATGGCACACTCATCAATGGTGGGGCAGGGACGAGGAGGGCGGGAACACCTGGGTCCCAATTTTAAGCATCATCAAAGGGTTGTGTACGTATGTATGACATGTCTGTTGTCAGCAGGGTTTGAGGGCAAGAACTCTGTCTCCATGTTGGTATTTTTAAGCTAAGGGTTTAGCAATCAAGTTGAACTGCTGGAATAAGGGTGAGCACTTTGGTGAACTTTTATGATAGAGAGGTTAAGCTGAAATTTGACAGTTTTGAGAAAATAAAGCTGGCTGGCCTTCCAGGTAAGCATAGGACGCATTTTGTATTTGATGATAAGTCAGCAATATCAATTGATATCAATTAATATCTATCTTATTAATGAGAAAATACAGTTGGCCAGCACTTGGTATTTGTGTTGGAACTGCTTCTGTTATTACAACTTATGGTTGTTTTCTCCCCATCTCACTAAATAATCTCATACTCAAGAGCCCATTGCTTCTCCTGGTAGACTATGTACCATAGTCTTGCTCAGTGTGTCATTATAATCATTTATTACCACTGCCAACCTCCTTATCTTCTCAAGTAAATACATTTACTGAAGTTTTATATGAATGGAAATTGGCTATGTGTTTCAAGTTCAGAGCCTGGCCTTCATGCTGCTGTAGCATATTGTGTGCACTAAAGGCATTAATCTGAGTAAAATACTGACAATAATATATATACCATCCAGTAATTAAGTATTTAAAGGTTATTTATCAGGCTGATTGGTTTTAATTATAGCTATGGCTTCATGAAAAAAAAAGTCACTGGAGGGGAATGAATTTTTTTTTAATTGAAAAATTAAGGTAGTGTATCCTTTTTAGCAACGGATTCATGCTTTTGCCAAATTATTCTTTCCCTTGAATACCGAGATTTGCCATTTGTCAGAATACAAAAGATCCTTCTACTGCCTTGGACATGGTGCTTTGTTCATGGGCACTCACTACCACGAGAGAAGAGCTGCCCTAGTCCCTGCAAAAAAAAATGTACAAAGCACAAACTGAAGGATGGCCAAGTGAAAACCATTGTTTTAAAACACACCCACTCATTTCTGGCTGCTTAGATTAGAGACACTAAATGGCCTCTTGCTGATGCTGAGGTAGCTGTGCCAGGCTAGTTGAGGCATGAGATTACATCGAATGGTGTTTCCCACCGCAGAGGTTGGCTTTGAAGTGCTGGTCTGCAGAGCCTGTGTGATACCGTGGTGTACCGCGGTGCCGTCAGAAATGGACACGTGGGTTTTGCTCTTGTGCCTCATGCTTTAACCACAGACTCAGTCTTTCTTGCCTCTGTTGCAGTGCTCAACAGCAGCCACAAAATAGGTATGAGTGCTGTGTAAACTGTCTTGTTTGTCTTGTAGCACCTTGTTGCTGACAAGTGCACAGCCCTGCCTGTGGTCTGCCCTTGCACGCGTGTGTGACACGTGTTGGTGCTCATGTGAGTGACATGCACAGCAAGAGCCTGTTTGACCAGGACATCTTTTTTTTTTTTTTTTGAAGGGAAGTATTGGATATCTTCTCCAGAATTTGCAGTTTAAGTTGTCTGATCTGTGAATGATCTGAGACTACGGTCATTAATCCCCTGATACGCCATATATCACAGTGGTCTCTGCTCCCCAAGCCCTTGCTCACCCAGCAGAAAGGGCATTATGAGTGGTGGCACAGACAGGTATCACTGCTGTGTCCATCCCCAGGGTGGCATGGAGGAGCCCTGGAAAAAGAGGTGATAGCAGCCAGGGCTGCCTCCACCGTAACTGGGTAATCTACAGCCTGTATCAGTGTTCAAGCACTAGCTTTGGATCACAGAAACAGGGCTTGGATGAAAAGGGCAGGACTTGGTGAAGCAGCCTGTGCTCCCATGTCTAGCTGTGGCTCTTGAGGTTCATTCTTTGGTTTCTCCATCAATAACCGGTGGGTTGTTTGTCTTCAAAAAGAACTCTGAGATCTTCTGATGAGCAGTGCTGTAAACAAGCTGAGTGTTCATATTAACATGGATCCACATTGGACCTCAGGGGCTTTTGAATAAATATTCAAGTGGCTTATATTTATTCTTTCAGCTCCAACAGAATAATTAGAAACAGGGTAAATAGTAAGTGCAAATGATGCAATGAAGCATCTGATAATGCTCAGGGAGTCACAGAAGGAGAGCCGAGCTGATCTTTTTTAGCCCAAAAGTTGATGATTTTTATGATTCAGTAACTGTAACCTGGGATTTTTTTCTGCTTTTGTAGATGTGGATAAATGTCTTTCCAATCCTTGTCCTGCGCTGGCCACCTGCAACAACACCCATGGCTCCTATATCTGTCAGTGTCCTCTTGGATATGAAATGGAAAAAGGAAAGTGCAATTTAGGTAAGAAAACAAAATGAAAAACCAGGGGAGGACAAGATGGAAATAATTATCTGTAATCTTCTAAAATAAATTAACTTGGGCTCAGACTAGTTCAGGAGCTTAATGTTCCTTCCAGCCACCACTTTTGTCAGAGCCTTTTACTGTTTACCCGAGTATGGTGTCTGATGCCTGTTGTGTTGAGCTGCCCGGGGAGCAGGCGCAGAGATAGCTGAGGGATTCTTGAAAATGCAGCAATGGAGCAGTGGGCTCAGGCTTGTTAGTAAGGACAGACGTGTCCCTTCTGTTCCCAATGTGTTTTACAACCCCCCAAAAAGCATTCAGCAACTTATTGTAGCTCCCAGCCTTGCAAACTTCGGTGACAGCACTTGGCTTGGGAGAAGTGAGCAGGGCTATTGTGTAACCTGGCTTCAGTGGGATCAGCCATGTGCGGAAAATTAAGCAGCCGTGAAAGTCTTTATAAGATCAAGGTCTTATTTCATACCTTTAGCATTTTCTTAGAAGCACAGTTATTAGTTGGAACTCAGGTTCTGATCCCCTCCTTTCTATTAGCGGACTCTCAAGGATTTACAATGTCCCATTGTATAGGGGAATTTGTTTTGACAGATTTTCTTCTGACCCTTAATCAAAAAGGATTAGAGGCATGGAAATTTTGCTAGGGAAACATGGGTGAGGTGTCCCTGAAGAGTGTTTTGAAACATTTCTTCGAGTTGGAATGTGTCAGCTTCTAATTTAGAGAGTTGTTTTGATTATGCCTTGAAATGGGATACAGGCAGATTATATAACTACTGTGAAGGTGATTCTCATTTTATTTTTTGTCCAGAGTTGTTATATTAAAGCTGTCTGATATAAAATTTGTGGTGAAGATAGGCTCCGTGGATGGAAAAAAAATGGGAAAGAATTATAATGTTATCTGCAACCGTATTTGTTTTTCTGGTGGAACATAAAGCTGGAGCTCTGAGTTCTCATTTCCACTGAGTATCTCATGACACTTAATACAAGATTTAGGGGTATTATCTCTCCAAGTCTGGACAACTCAGATTATTGCATTCTGCTGCCGTGAATCAAATATGAATCTAAGCACAGAAAAATGCATCTTTTGGACCTCTTTTCAAATGTTATTGCTCATTCTCTCCAACAGTTTGAAAAATAAAAATGTCCTTTCTACGATGCTTTATTTTGACTTGCTGGTTTGCTTTCCTTCCATTGCAGGGAGGGGTAAGAGATTTGACGTGTTTACCCCAAATTATCATAAATAGCTTTGGTACCTGTAACTTGTTGTCTTGTTACTAATTTTATCAATTTCTCTCTGTGTTCAGGAATCCTTTTAAATTAGTCTGTGTTCCTATATGAAATGTATGAACACTGCAATGAAATGCTGGCTGTTCAGCAGCATTAAGCTCTGGAATTTGACTGGGACTCTGGGAACATTGCAACAACACTTGGGAAAAAACCCAAGGCTGTGACTCTGCTTTACTGGGGCAATGATTCTCAGACGCGAGTTTTCTGTTTGCTGTGTAAAGAGATTTTCCATACAAACAACCTCTCACGTAAGGCAGATGAAACCACATCTACATGCGGCACAGAGACATGTGTTCCAACTAACTTGTCTTGTTTTCCTTTTCAGTGAGAATATTTATTGGCCAGGTCCCCCTGAAACCTAATATCACCCATGGGAAGTATGCAGAGCTCTTCCACGTTGAGAGCGAGATCCTGGCCGTGGTGAGTGTCCTTGCTGGGCATTTGGCAGTGCTGGTGGGACAAGTTCCTTTTGCTCCTCTTATGGTTGTCATGGGAAGCCATGAGTCTGCAGCATGGGTTTAACCTTTTCAATCATTGAACTACCCTAGTCTGGTGTAAGTAGGACTGGTGAATGTACTCTTTTAAACCCATCATGCTTCTCTCCTCTGCCCTGCCCCAGCTGTCAAGACAGCAGTGGAGAAACCTGGCTCCTATGGGGCTTAAGGCAGCATATCTGCCTGGAAAATCCTGAATCCCTTTTCCTGAAGTGGTGGATACATGCTTTAGTAGCCTCCATCCTCTCCTACTGTCTTCTGGCTTCATTGTTTTTTCCAGATCTCAAAAGGGCATCAGTGCTCCTCCGAGGTCAAACATTAAAACAGTAACTCTGGGCCCCACCATTCATTAGTAAACCTCATGGATGCTGGAGCAGGTTGTGCTGCAGCCACCTTGCTCTCAACCAAACGCTGTGGGATGAAGCCCAGCAGCAGCACCCACCCAAACATACCTTCCTCTGGGTGGAGTTTTTCAGCCATTTGATTGTAGCCGTGTGACCCTCAGTCAGTTGAGCACAAGCATCGGATGAGCTGTTGGCTGCCCCATAGGCTGAGCCATCAGTTGCTCCAAAAAGACCCCTGGGCTGCGGATAGGTACATCTCTGTACATTTTTTATCCAGTTCATTGCATGCAGAAGTTCATCCTGTTAGCAGTTCCTGGACTGGCTGCACTTTATTCCAGCTCTTTGGAATAGGTGATTTGGAGATGCTGCCAAATGAGGGAGGAGTTGGGGGGAGTCACCTTGATGCTGCCCACACAACTTGTGCTGGGGAGTAAATACAAACAACTGCACAGATCCAGGGTCAGGGAGGCTCCTTGGAAGATGTTCAGTCTCTGAGATGCTGCTTTGAGATCAGCCTTGCACGGTACTGTCTCCCTGCTGACATCTGGCTCGTCCTTGGCCTTTGTGGTCACTGCCCAGTGGGGCCTCAGGCAGATGCTCATGTCAAAATCCCCAAGTCTTTGTTCTTGTCCAAGGCTGCACGATAGTGACTTTGTCCATCTCTTACTGGCAACAGGGCAGTGCATCTTTCTTATAGAGCAAATGAACTGCTGGGATGTACAGAGCCCCCATGGTCTCAGCAGGTACGTCTGGCAAGCACAGGGGATAGAGTCAATGACCCAGCAGGAGGACCATTCCATGCTATGTCCCACTGGGCTGCCTCCCTCCATAATCTTCTGGGGCACTAACAACTGCTCTCTCCTTCCCTTCCTTGCAGCTCAATGCATCGCTGTCAGGCTTGCCGGGGTACCACCACTCCACTGTTAAGGCAAGCAGGTAAGACTAAGGCTACCAGGGGAAGAATGAGAAACTTGAGCATTTGGGATGTTCAGCTTGAGATCCACATTCTCCATTTTGAGTTGGTGCTGGGCTTGATACAGTCTGTCCTGGCAGTGGAATGAGGAATGCCTGACCATCTTGCCTGGTTCTCCTGGCCTGAGCAGCATTGGGACAGGCTTGGGAGCTTCCCAGGAGGGATTTATGGCTGGTTCCAAAGTGAGCTACCAGCATCCCTTCCAGCTCCAAATTTTCTTCTCTGTGTGTAGTTTTTTCCTGTTTTTAAGGTCTGTTACAATGCATGTAATGCTGTGTCTGTGATAAACATGGCTTATGTTAATCAGAGTCCTATGTATAAGGTGCTAATGATGACATCAGAATTACCCATGATACTCAGGGCTGTTTTGTTTTGTTTTCTGTTAGGGAGGCAAATATTGTGCATGTTTCAGTGCAATCCACGTTCTCTTTAGCATCCAACGTGACTTTCTACGATGTTATCAGCAGCGTGAAAAGCTACATTCGAGCTTGCAAATCCCCCACCGAAGCCTGCCAATTCATCTCCAACCTGAAACCACTCCACAGAGGTAAACAGCATCTGGAGAACTATGACAGGAGGAGAAAGGGATGTTTTGTTTGGCTTCTTTTATAACAGAGGGAGAAAGATTTGGCATTTGGAAAAGCCCCTATGAATCATTTTATCTTATTTAAATGGGAGTCATCTTAAGAACCTCACAGTACAAAAGGGACCCAGATACCGAGCCTTATCTTTGCCACATGTGTGAGAAATCTGCGTCTCTGTGAAAACATCACACAGCACCGGATTAGAGGCATTGTAGGGCAGCCTTTCATCTCTGGGATGTGACACTGGGCCCAGCCAGATCAAAAAAGCATAAGTCTTAATTCCACCCACATGGCTGGGAGCTGAGAAATGGTGTGAAAGCCAAGAAACAAAACCCCTCCAGTGAAGTCGATTAGAGCTGCTGGAGGCTGCACAGGGAGCTCGTCTCTCCTGCCTGCCCAATTTCAGTGTTGCGGGGTGTAAAGATGGTTCACAATTAAGACCTTTTGATGTCTGTACTGAATCCTCTACCTGCTAAAGGGGAACGTGGATGCAGCACAGAAAGATGTGGAGAAGGACACCAGTGTTGTGCGTGATCTTCTCAGGTGGACCCGGTTGCTGTTTGTGGCTCTGGTTCTCACTTCCTGTGGGACTGATAGAGGAGATTTAGCTTTGAGAGGTACCTCAGGATGCATGGAGTGAGCACCCTTGAAAGATGGTCTCCTGCACAGAAACTGCTGCACGTGGAGCTTTGTGACTTTGGGGTTCAAGGCTTCGAGGTTTGGCTTTGAGGATGAAGGGTGACAGTGTTTAGCCTGGCTGTAGAGGGAAACTCCTTGTATCGTTTTGGCAAAGTAAACATGAATATGAGAAGTTTAGTGTGCTTTTATTGTAATGTGCTATATTTTAAAGCCACACCGCACCATGGATTGCATTAAATTGTTTGCTAGACCCACTCAGATTATACCTACACATTACCTCTGATACAATGCTTCTGGTAAAGTCTACTTCTAACTTGAAATAAGCAGAATAAGAAACAAATTGTATTCTTGTGTAAGTACTTAAAAAAAAAAGATAGAAAAAAAATTGGATCTAGCAGGGAGTGGTCTGTGAAAGGTGAGTGCCAAATGAGTGACATATTTTCCATAAAATCATATTTCTCACGAATATTTCTTCATTCCATTTAGTCTGACCTCCCAGGAAAAAATGTAAATTTGGTGACAAAATTTCCATCATTTATCCACAGTTTTGCTGAATGCTCGTTGTAACAAATCTGACTTTCTAAAGTAAAACACTGCTTCAAAGTAATGTAATTGAAAGGACAAATTCTTTGTTTGAAAAATGAAAAAATCCAGTGCTTAATATTGAAATGGAAAAAAATTGGTTTGGGCTGAGCAAAATATTTTGCTTGATATAAACTTAAAACCTGATTTTTTGAGTTGTCTCATGGGGTGAATGTGTTTCAGCTTGAGCCAAACCAAATTTTTCATTTTCATTTCCCCTTCTGCCTCAGAGCTGAAACATTTATTATCCACAAGAAATGGTGACATAGGGTAATGTTGCCTCTCTCCTAATGGAGTAAGCACTGTTAAAAAAAAAAAAGAGATTAAAGCAGCACATGAGCTGAATGTGATGCCTGGGGAAAGCAAATATGCATAATGGTGGGTTCAGAAAGGGCCATGCTGATGTCGGCCACCTCTTCCCAACAGTTGGCAGCTTGTGTGGACAGAAAGACCCTGAATGTGACAAGGAAACTTCGGAATGCACTGACTTTGACGGAGTTGCACTCTGCCGGTGCAAAAGTGGGTACTTCAAATACAACAAGATGGACCACTCCTGCAGAGGTATTGCTCTCTGTGTTGTGCATTTTCCCTGAATTTTACTTAAACTTTTTGTTCTGGTGGAAATGAGTGTGTGTGCGTAGCCCTGTGCATGCAAGAAGCTCAATATTATGAATAAATATTAGCAGCTCAAGTTTCTTTTATTTAGTTAGGGGGCTTTTCAGCAGACACTGAAGACACAGTCTCTCTCTAGGAATAATATTATCTCTTTCTGGTGCATGCTGTGAGTCACAGTGATTGAGGAGAGGGAGAAAGGGGCCTGGCTGCTTTGGGCTCCAGTTCAGTGGCACAGAGCAGAGATGACGTGTTTCTCTGCCTGTTTTGATTTTGTCTGAACTCTCAGTGAACTTAGGGGAAGTGCTTTAAACTCACAAGCTTATATTAATACATCATCAATATTTTAAAAATTTGTATCCGAAAATGATTATGAATTTATTTTTCAACTGAGTTCCTAGTAGAAATTTTAAGCTTAAATGTTACATTATTTTTTAGCTACTCCTCAGATCAACAAATCTGGTTTTGCTACATTTTAAACAAGGTCTTTGCATGCCAGTGATCAAAATAACATCTGTAGGATCAGGGTGTCCATTCCCTAGTTTCAGTGGTTGTTGTAGGGCTTCTTAAGAAATGCAGTTTTCTGGTGACATATCAATAAGAATTGCAGTAGTGGTTATATATTGCTTCTGGCACTGTCTGCTGGGTTGCTGTTGAAATAGGAGGAGATGTTTTGTCGATTCCAAATCTGATCAGAGAGTGAGAAAAATGTGCCTAGAAATAACTCATGTGCTGCAGATTCTGGGATGGACATCTCATAGTCCTACCTCTCCTCCGCTCTATGGTTCCAGGCAAAATCTTTCTCTTTGTGTTTTCCTTTCTTCCCTTCATCTTGTACATTGGAGGAAGGATTTCTATTAGGAAATACTGACCATCTCCATTGACCCTAGAGAGTCAGAGAAGGGCATATGTAGTGGCTGGAGAGCTGAGCTGAAACTTGGGAGATTTTTACCCAATTCTTACTCCATCATAGACAGTGGGGACACAGGGAAAGTTACTCTATTTGTGTTGTTCATATCTCTTGCCAAGCAGTGTTGTGAAGATAAATACCTGAAAGACTGTGAGGCACTTGGATGCGATGGTTGCAGAGGGCTAAGAGATTTAACATCTTGTACATGTGGTTACTCCCTACTTATGTATCTTGTTTTCCGTGGAAAATATAAAAACCCTACCTGCACACAGTGAGGCCTTAGTTCCAGCTTCAACTCACTGCTGTCAGTAGGAAACATCTTACTGACCAGCTTCAGAGTGTCTGAGTGACAGGTTTGATGTGGGATTTAGGTTGTAGTGCATGAGGATAGTACCAACTGCATGGTGCCACACTCCGACAAGACACCAGATTTTCGGTATCAGTTGTTCCCATCTGGGTAGTCCAGGAGGTTGGAGTTTCTAAAGGCTTTTTCAGAAGTAAAGCTATGGCCCTCATTTAATATTTAGGGCTATTTTGCTGATGAATATAGCATACAATATGCTAACCTCTTTGAAAATCTCTGCCCTTCCAATGCCTAAACAGGAACTGAGGTCTCGTGAGCATCCGACCCTCATTGTGGGTCATGAAAATGCGGTGCAGTAGCTCCAAATATAGCATTTGCAAAGAGGGAAGTGGCTATTGTGCTGCCCTGTCCGGTCTCCCCCGTGGGAAGGCAAGTGTGGCTGGGAGAGCTGCTGGGGCATGGGGAATTGGCTCCCCCAACCCCCAGGTTTTATTCTGTCCTGCTTTGCAGCATCTGTCCTCTGGTTGAAAAAGCATCTCCTGGACCAAGGAAGGGTTGAGTCCCTTGAGTCACAGCAGTTTCAACATGTTGGCCAGGGTACCTCTTGATGTGCAGTTCAGTTGTCTCTGGGTCATTGCTGGTTTTCAACCTTTTAGTGTCTTCAGGGCTATTTCAGTAACAGAGCAACAAACCCAATGTGCCAACTTTTCAAGGACATGCTATTTTTACTAGTACAGAGTGTTTCTGGAATGAAGCAAGGAGCAGCAAAGCAGGTTTCCAAAGAGACCTCTGAGAATCTTTTGGGAAGGCAAAGGAATCCTGAAGAGCACAACTCGATAGCTTTGCTTGGCCCCTTACACTTAGGCCTTTCCTTTGTTCCCTGCTTATGTTTGAAAGCTTGCCAAGTGAGTGTGACAGTGCAAGGTCTCCTGGGGACATGTTCAAAGGAGCAGGAAAGATGCCAAAGGAGAAAGCAAAGTGGCAGGAAAAGGCAGGGTGAGGAAAGGAAAAGACATAATCACCAAGTTTTTAAGTAAGAGAGAGAAATGAGTATTCAGGATCTTGCTTTTCCTCTTTACTGCCCCTATATCCTCCTGGCCTGAGAAGGGTGTGCCAGTGAGGTCCCAAGGCTGCTCCTGCTCAAGGCACAGCTCCAGCTTTGAGACTGCTCAAGGTGTATGTGCCCCACACATGTTACTGGGCTAGGGCTGAGGTTAGGGTGGGCTCCAGCATCTGCCTGCCCACTCCTGCAGGCCTTCCCAACACTCCAGCAATGAGCTGGGGCTGGGATACATGGGGCTGCTGTGCTCATTAAAGAAGGCAACTCCAGTGAGTTCCCTCCCTTGCACTGCAGATTTTTTTATTGCCTGATCTTGTAGTTCATTTTGGTAGAACATTCACTCCATAATGTTTTCAGTCTGCTTTTGTTAGCAAGTGAAAGGAGTAATCCATCCAGTCATCTTTTGCTAATGCCTCAATGTTATGAATGAGCCCAGCAAGGATCCTTTGGGATTTACTGCCCTTGCCCTGCTGTTTCTTGACTGAGGCTCTTAAGTCTTGCCCAGTTACCTCTGGTCTCTTCCTTCACTTCAAATAAACCATCTTAGAGGGAGAAAAATATACCCAGTACAAAAAGTGTCACGATGAGATGCAGCATGGGGGCTGTATAATGAACTTCACCCTACTCATCCGCAGCTGTGGCAAAATAAATATAGTGAGGGAGGTAATGAAGGAGTAGTGGGGCTATATGGGGCAAAGAAAAGTGTGCAAGACCAGGTATCATGGGCATCAGCACCCCATCGTTGTTGGTATCAGTGGCTGCAAGTCTATGTCTGCAGATGCAACGTTCATGATGTGAGGGTGCATCACTCATCTGTGTCCACACATCCTGCAGGGAAAATGGCTGAGTGACATGGGATGCTTTGTAAATGGTATATAGGCAAACAGTTTTTCAATATGGCCACAAGCAAGGCCAAGCATCCAAGAGCAGAGTGCCAGGCACACTGTGTGTTGCATCTCCTGGAAAGCAGAGACTTGGGCAGAGCTGCGAAGGGGGTTCGGCAGGTAAAAAAGAGATTCCCAGCTCTGGCTTCCAAAGGTAATATGATGCCAGGGTGAATTTAGGCGTTATGGGCAGGCAGAAGATGGGAAATTTTGTTATCCCTGGGCTTTTGACATCTATTTCTGGGAACCGAAATCAAGAGGATCAAAGAGAACCGTTTGGAGAAAAGCTGCAATAATTAGGGAGACTCAAAGATCTCAGTGCCCTTGACTGTATTCAAGGTAAAGGAGTTATTTGGTGGTGAGGAGGAGAAATGGGAACATATAACCTTTTCCAATCTGGTAAGTAAACATCCAAAGTCTGGAATTTGACACTGGGATAATTCAGACCAGAAGGAAGGTGAATGTTTTTAATGGCTGGGGAAATTAACTTTGTGAGCATCTGAACCCAAGGTTGTGGTTGATTGTCTGTCACTGAAAATATTAAAATCAGTCTTGGCTGTTTCTCTGAAATGTAGCTCCAATTCACCTTCTTGATTTGAAACTGGAATTAAATTCAGGGAAGTTCTGTGACCTGTATTACAACAGGGAGGTCACAGTCACATGCTCACTGCTGGCATCAATATAATTTGTTATTGGTGCTGGAAGAGCCATAAATTTCTGAATCCATCCAGAATGCTAGTTCTCTCTTGGTTTACGATGATTTTACCAACCCATTTTAATAGACAACATTTGTCCATCTTCTCTCCTTTCCTCCCCTCCTGCCCTTTGGGTTTTTGACAATACAATCGCTGACTGTTCCAGTGGGAAAAGGCATCTGGTGTGCTAGGAGCAGCACAGGAGGGGGTGACGGCTTTGCTGCAGCTTAGCTGGGATCTCTGCTGGAAGCCTCCTCTTCTCCCTGCTTGCTGGTGTTAGAGAGTGCCAGAGCTTTTGGCCATGGGTTATCCCCACAGTTAGAGAGCAAGGCAGAGGGAGTAGGGCTTGAGAGCTGCTGCCTCACCCGTTTTAAGCACATAGTGTTTGAGGGTGAAAAAAATCCATGAACACTTTTGTTTTCACTTAACAATTCCCTGTGGAGTGTGATACAGGGGTTTCCCAGACCTCTGGGTGATGTCTTGGAGACCCCCAGGGGCTGCTGCATGTGCTGGCCCTGGGTTGTCCCTCTGCCCAAAGCGACTGTGTCTGTGTCACTCCTGCTCAGGTCTTTGAGTGACCACCTTCACTGCCTCTGCTCAGGCAGCAGATCTGCAAGAGCTCTGGTAGCATTATTGCTGAGAAAAGCAGTGATCTCATCAGTAGTTTGAATCTTATATTTCTGTGTCCAATGTATCATCTCCTTTCCTGTTCATCAGAAGGGTAGTATAATTTCCTCAGATAATTCAGGTGATGGGATAGCTGTCCATAAGCACAGAAGTTATTTTATTTTGAAGCAATGGTTTCAGTTTTCCATCAACATTTTGCATGTAGCAGTTTTCTGGGTTATTTAGACCTAAGAAATTTAATTTCTATTGTACAGTAAAATGTGATATCTCAAAATTTGATTTTGCTGCAAATTTGAAAGATCAGAAAAGAAAGTGACACAAGAAAAAAACATTATCATACCACTTTGGATTACCATAACTGTGTTTGCACAACTTTTTGTAGCAATACTAACATTTAAAAGTAATTAATAATGTGCACCAATGCTAAAGTAATACTGTTCAAATGAGGTTTCAAAACAGAAGCTGGAGGCACTTGCAGATTTTTTTACACTGCTGTTTTGTGGGAAGCAGTACAAGTGTGCAGTGAGTTTTTATTTGGGCAAGAAGTTGTTCTGCTGGGAATTACATTACCAGCTGCCCACCCTGTGCCAGACTCCAAGCTGACTCTGCCTGAAAGCCCTGAAATGGTCCTGTCAAAACCAGCGGGAGGTGAATTTAAGTGCACGGTATTTTTCAGAGGACATACTGCATCCCATCAAAGTGCATCGCATTCCTGCTGTGCAGCGGTGCTGCTGCCGGACCCCAAGGGTGGTTGGGGTGGGGCTGCCGTGGGAAGCAGTGATGGGAAATGCCTCCCTGCACCACTACGTGGTACTCATGGCCCTTCTCTCTGTTTTTAGCCTGTGAAGATGGATATAAGCTGGAAAATGAGACCTGTGTGAGGTATGGTGACTGTTCTGCCCTCCTCCTACCCCACCATCCTTGCTTTGGTAACCTGTCAGCACAACTAAGCCGCTGAAGCTCCCTATTGTTTTCTGTTCTCAGCTGCCCATTTGGCTTAGGTGGATTCAACTGTGGAAACCGTGAGTAACAAATTTTCTTTATTTTCCATGGTGTCAGAAATGGGAGATTTGAAATAAATAATTGCAAATGACTATGTCTGAAATGCAGTAGGTACACACTGCTTTTGTCAGTGTTTTTTGTTTCTTCATTTTCTGTTGAAACTAATTTTGTCGACCTTATTTAACAAAGCTGTCTTAATGCTATGTCTTAAGGAAAGATCTCCTTTCCCTGGATACTCTCTCATGAGTATAGTGGGCACATATAGTGGGCAGTCTTGAAGCAAGATATTCCAAAGTGAATCTATGAAATATAATTTGAATTATTCTGATCTATCAGTGAAGGGAATCCATACTTTAGGGAAACAAAACCTTGTTCTTCCTTCGTCAGGAGATCCCCAACACCATTTATTTCACTTGAAATTGCAGAGGGAGGGAAGATGGGAAAAAGACAGTTAATCCCTTTGCATGAGGGCTGTGGATATGTTGACTTTAGTGTTTCAAAACCACACCACTGTTTCTAAGTGAGTCTCTGTCTTTCCTGTCTGCAGCGTATCAGCTCATCACTGTGGTGATTGCGGCTGCAGGAGGGGGACTTCTGCTTATCATGGGCATAGCACTGATCGTCACCTGCTGCCGGTAGGTACCACCACCAGGCCTGGCTCATCCATGGTGTCCTCTCAGTGGATTACCCCACACTTACTGCTCCATGTGTGAACTCTGAAGGACAAAAACATAGGTGAAAGCATAGGATAGCTAAGCAAGTGGGTTAATCAGAGATACTGAGGTATCACATTGTGCTTTCATTTGGGGCGTATCTTCTTTTTTTTCCAGCACCCAGGCTAAACAACTGAACTGCTTGTCCCTTAATGATACACCTGGAAATCATGTCCTGCAAGGATGGAGAGGCAAAGGAGTCCTTCCCACTCAGAGCTTTAAGGCTCTGAAGCCAGGAAGCAGACTCCAAAAATGCAACCTAAGAGGAAAGGGAGGTTTAGGCAACAGGGGAGGTTATACTTGCCATTTTTCAAGTGCTGTTTGTGTGTATTTATGGCTATTTTCATTTTCCTTCATGGACAAATCCTGCATGTGTTCTTACTCTGTGTGTCTCTCCCTCTCAGACACATGCACACACATGCACACATACATAGTTCCAGTACCAACAGGCAGCTTCAGTTTGGAGGCAAGATGTGTTTGCTGAGGAAGCTCTGCTTCATGATTTATGTATTCTGAAAAGGGATGCCTTGCAGTAACACCCTCTCCCCGCCATTCCAGTTCCCAAATCTAGGATTTCAAAGCTCTCTGATAAAGTTGGCAGCTGGATTTATTGGTAATATAGACGTGGCAGTGGTTTGGTTGGCACAGTGGTGTGCCCCTGTTACCCTGTGTTTTGAGCCAGGGGGACCAGCAAGCCCCATCCAGGAGGTGAGATGGCCAGTACAACTCCAGACCCCACAGTGCAGATCTCTGCAGGGGTGGACTGACCTTCTAATGGGTCCTCGCCTTTGGCAGCTTATGTGGCTTCCTGGAGGGTACTCTGCTTTGAACTGGAAGTCCACTCACACAACATGGTACTCATGTAGGGGCATTTGGTGTCATTCAGACAGGGTCCTTGCAAGTCTTCTTTCTTAGGAATTAACATAGTGCCTAGAAGTGCTATAGTTAATCACTTGGAGACTTAAATAGCGTGGGACCTCCATACATTTTTCTTCCTCAAGAAAATTGAGGGTTTTTTCATTGACTCAGATGACCACACGCTTTTTTAAGAGACAAGGGGCATAAGCTGGAACAGGAGAGGTTCAAACTGAATGTAGGGGAAAATTCTTTCACCAAGAGGACAGTAAGGCAGTGGAACAGGTCGCTCAGAGAGATTCCCATCTCTGTCTTTGGAGATTTCAAATCCCACTAGACACTGCTCTGAGTATCATGGTCTGATTTCATATCTGACTTGGCTTCAGAGCAGAAGATTGGACTACAGTCCTTCTGAGGTGACTTTTGTTCCCAGTCAAGTTCATAACATGAAGTGGTGATCTCTCCTGAGATCATGTCAGAAGTGCATACAAGATAGCGGGATAAGTTTTATGTTTTCACTTTCCCTCATTCTTTTATAAACAGGAAGAATAAAAATGACATAAGTAAACTGATTTTCAAGAGTGGGGATTTCCAGATGTCACCTTATGCTGAATATCCGAAGAATCCCCGGGCACAGGAGTGGGGCAGAGAGACCATCGAGATGCAGGAGAATGGAAGCACCAAGAACCTGTTGCAGATGACAGATGTGTATTATTCGGTATCTATCCATAGCTTAACTATTAACTCTTTCTGCCTGATACAGGAAAGAGATATTCCTTTATTTTTGAAAGTACAGATCCCTTTCCTGCAAGATAAAAGGGCAAAGCAAATGTCTTCCATAGACAACAAGGCATCAGGAGTCCTATGGGCTCTAACTATTATCTGTGCTGAATATCACAAAGAGATGTCATTAGGAAGAATGGTAGAGAAATGTCTAGGAACATGTTGTTAGTATGCCCAAAAAGCCCAATCCTAGAGAGAGAAGGACAGTTAAGGGTTTTGGATAGACTGCTAGGATTCACTGTAGGTAGTTTTCTCCCGTCCACCCTCACTGATGATGCAGAAGGTTGAGACCCCTGTCTGGGGAACTTCACCCCAAAATGGGAAGATGCTGGTCACTGAGGACCCCTCTTTTCTTCTACTCCTTCCCTCTCCAGGGTAGAAAAAGAGCATCCCTTCAACTCTGAGGGAACAAGGAGTAATAGGCTGTGTAGGGCACAGAAAGGAACAAACGTAGGACTTGCTGTTATGGTTGGTACCATCTGCTAATGTTTGTATCCAGAGCTGTGATGCTGGTGTGTCATCTGTCACTTATCTACAGCTACATGTACTTAAAGTGTGTGTGGGTTACTCCTGAGAGTGAAGGTCACAGGATTTCACCCACATCACACGTTCTGGACTCCCTGCTTTCCAGAGCAGAGAACAGAAACATTACTTTTTTTTCTGGCTTGTATTTTAAGTTTTGCAGTAAGCAAGTTTACTGGGTTGTGCAGCATGAAAGGAAATAATCCTCCTTCATGCTTCCATTAAGAATGAAATATTTGGAAATGAAAATGCATTTCCTAAACTATTTTTTAGACCCTTATTATGCTGACAACTAGAAAGGGGAACTTTTTAGCAAGCAGTGGGTGATGAGGGCTTTGCATGGATCCGCTCTGTAACAGATCAAACCAAGTGGCTTGTTGTTATTCACTGGGTGAAAGGACTGTGCAGTCTTGGTCTTAGACATCAGCGTTCCTCAGCCAAGTGTCCCCAGGGGATTACCTTAATTAAGAGAAAGGAAGAGAAAGGAAAGTCAGATCACTTTGTATTTGATATATAATTTGAGGGCCTGTGTTGGGAGAGGAGATATCTATCATTAATGGGGAAAGAAGTGCTCCTCGGTAATACTCAGAGCAGGAGACTAGCTTTGATTTTCTAGAATTGTTTCCTTTAAGGATGGCTCTGGGACAATATTCTTTTTGTGAGAGTGGTTTCGTTTCCTGAGCTCATGGTAGAATTCTTTTGGATTAAAAATTAACTATGTACTTAAACTGCACTTGGTGGAGTCAGGTAAACTTCAAGTCTGTTCATTGGCCAGATGTCGATATCAAGATTTCATCAGAATAATCCCTTCAGGCAATACGTAACTCCCACAGTAAAAATGACTATAGGTAATAGAAATCATAAGCACTCATGTTGTTCCTTCTAGCTACTGAAATAACTGCTGGGAAAGGTGGTAAAGCTGTGCCTGAAGGAGGATTTGAGTGTGAGAATAAGACCCTTTTTATTTAATTTTTTTTTTTGCTAATACAGCCACCTGGACTGAGAAATCCTGAACTGGAAAGAAACGGACTTTATCCTCCCTACACTGGTTTACCTGGATCTCGACATTCATGCATCTACCCTGGACAATACAATCCATCCTTCATTAGTGATGAAACCAGAAGAAGAGACTATTTTTAGCAGAGAGCGGAGAGGGAGTGGCAGATGGACACAGTTTTGTGGCCCTTGGTCCCCAGGACAATCTGTCTCCTGGGTAATTCAGGCCACATCAATCTTACTCTTCCCATTTAACAGGAAGGACTTTGAACTTCGTGCTGAGCATTGCTGCCCTGAGGTATTGTTACACTTGCTGAGCAGCAGAGGGAAGGAGGAGGAAGAGGAGGGAATGGCTCGAGGTGCACATCCCTAAAAGACCCAGATGGAAGCTAACACATGTACTCCATATTCGTCCTATGCTGCATCTTCACTCTTTAAGCTACATGGCAAGCATGGATCAGTACGGGCAGATGAACTGTGCCCAGCACTCTGCATTGAATACCACTAGGGAGTGTTTTGTTTACAGATCTCGTTCACTGTTGACTGTGCTTGTCTTCTTAGCCAGCCTTCATGCAAAGATTCACTGTGCAACTGTGTTTGGTAGGGCAAGTTCGTCCACTCCCTTTTACATTGCTGCATTGCTATTTGCTTTGTGCACAACAGGGAAGCTGGCTCAACTTTTGGCCCTCACCTTTTTACTGGTAGAAGTTCTCCAGGTGGCTGGGTCCTTGCTGAAGCCCAGTGTCTGGCAATATTGGCTGAATTCATGGGTTGATTGTCTCCAAGGAGTGTGGGAAGGTTAGTCATACCACTGCAATTTTGACTGAAAAAAGCCATTTGTTCCTATGTGCTGCTTTGAAAATCTTCTATATATAGGGAAGAGTCCAAGTATATTGTTGTTTTGTCAACCAGTGTTGTTCAGAAGTGATGCCACTGCACATCGTCATGGCACTTCCATATAGGATCCTTTGGGGTTCTGTATCCCTGCAGGGATTTAAATGCCTGTAGAAACAGCAGTATAATATTGAATAATTGCTCACAGGGAAGAAAAAGATGAGCTGTGCATTCAGCATGCTCTTTAGGAGGAATCTGTGAAAGAGCAGTAATGCTGCAGCCTTGGCTGGCAGATGAACCTGAATTCTGGGCACTGAAGATGAAACATTGCATTTTATAATCTCCACATTCCACCTTGCCTTCTGTAGGAGCTGTGGAGGCTTTCAGGACATTGGAAAATAAGGCTCACTGCAGGCAGTTGCATTTAACAGAGAAAAAACATGATCCTTGCACTCCTAGCATAGCTAAGATCACTTATGTTGAAGTGTTTTTCTTTCTTACATCCTAGTTTCGAGTGACTCAGACCAGGCAGGTTTATTCACCCAGGTATGTTAAGTCATATTAGCAAAATCCTGAACAGACATCAGACTGAAAGCTCATGGAGTGTATTCTGACCTGAACTGTGTACTTAAAGAGATCTTACTAATTATAGAACCCTAGAATAGTTTGGGTTGGAAGGGACCAGGTTGCTCAAAGCCCCATCCAGGCTGACCTTGAACACTTGCAGGGATGGGGTAACTTCTCTGGGCAACCTGTTCCAGTGTCTCACCACTCCCATAGTGAAGAATTTCTTCCTTATGTCTAATGTAAATCTACCTTCTTCAATTTAAAATCATTCCCCCTTGTCCTATCACTACATATTCCTGTGAAAAGTCCCTCTGACTTTCCTATAGCCCTCCTTTAGGTACTGGAAGGCTACTCTGGAAGCTTTCTCTTTCTTTGTCTCTCCAGAGCTTTCTCTTATCCAGACTGAACAGCCCCAACTCTCTCAGACTGTCTTTGTAGGAGAGGGGCTTCAGCCCTTTGAGCATCTTCGTGGCCTCCTCTGGACTCACTCCTTCTTACGTTTCAGCCCCTCAGAGTTGAAAGGAGCACTCCAGGTGGGGTCTCACAAGAGCAGAGGGAGAGAATCACCTCCCTTGACCTGCTGCCCACACTGCTTTTGTTCCAGCCCAGGACACAACTTCTGGGCTGTGAGCACACATTGCTGGGTCACATTGAGTTTCTCATCAACCAACACCGCAAGCCCTTCTCCTCAGGGCTGCTTTCAGTCCATTCTCTGTATCTGTGCTTGAGATTGCCCCGACCCACATGCAGGAAATATAATGAAGTGTATTTACCGCTTATCTTTACTGCACTGTTAATCTGAGTGATCCAAATCCTGTCAGATACAGGGTCCAGATGCGGATCCTTCTCTTGAATGTGACTATGCTTTTAATTCAAGGTGACTGCTTGTATGAGGATAACAAATTGCACAATTCCTTAGCCATTAACCCACCATCTCTGTAGTGTGTACATAAGCTGATATTCCCTTCTCCCCTACCATGCTTTAAAAGACACAGTGCCTACAATTAAGTTTGTGAGGTAGCTCAGCTCACTGAAGCACTAAGGATCACAGGATGTGTCCCCCAAAGTGCCTAACCCCAAGTAAGAGCAGCAGTTCAGGTGCTCATGTGTTGTGTGGTCACTCACTGGAGGGCAAACCTGGGGTGATGAGGAGCCCTCTGTCAGGGAGCAGGTACGTGCATCCTACAGATGGTGTGAGTTCCCAGATCCTTTCCCAGCACTTCGAAGGCTGTTGTGTTCCCTATCAAAAGTGAGTACCAGGTACCCAGAGGAAGGGGAAATAGCACCAGGCAGTTATTAGCTGTGTTGGCTGAGAGGTTTCTGATCCCTGCTCAAGTTGCTTTTGTTTTCTCAAAACTGCAAGACAGGAAAGGCACCACAAGTGTGCTTGAGAAGACACAGTTTGGTGCACCAACCATAGCACACAAATGCAGTCTTTTAATGCCTTTTATTTACTATGTAGAAACAGCAGTGTGGGCTTTCAGAAAAGCAGAGCTGCCTAGGGCAGTATCCTTTGCACTTACATGAACTTATGGTGACAATGCATGCAACTTCAAGCCTGTCTGATCCATAATCAGCCTTGCAGCTGGTAGTACACAGCTTATCTGAGATGTAGGAAGGAAAGGAATGGATGCTTATGGGAACTATTGCTGCCTAGGGAGCTATATTTGAGGAAATCTTTAATTACAGTATCCAAAATGATGTAACAGGTAAAGCACAGGAACTAGCTGTTCCCTGCCACATTTATCAGTGTTTCCCGTCTGTGAATGATGTTCTTCTCCCTTTCTTTAGCAGCTGATCTCTTAATTGCACAGGATCCATTGGCTGATGAGAACTAAGGACTTGACCCTGCTGTGCTGTGGGATCCTTCAAAGAGGAGGTTGGCAGGGTCATTTCTGTGTGGGTGAATTGCCTCTGTTTTTGAGAGTGCCCAGGACAGAAAGGACTGCCTTTCCCATGGTATGGAGGACGGTTTTGTCTCTGTTACAAAAGAAAAGGGGAAACTGGGAATCATGCTAAATCTAAATCCAAAGCATATAGACGAGCACTGGACTTTGCCCCTATTTACTAAAGCAGCTTGTCAAAAAGGAAGTGTGTCCCAGCAATGATGGGAATCCTATGATTTGACCACACGTCAGCAATTCCTCAGATTGGGAAGCAGTTAGGCATATGCTAAGAGGAAAGGATATTTAATTGCTTGGTTAGTTCAAAGACTGGGTGATGCACTCGTGTGTGTCAAGTTCAAAGTAGGAAATACCAATTTACAGTTGCAGGTCAGTCCTTCTATGCAAAGAGTAACATGAACTCTGTGAACAAAACTCCTGGTCTGTGTCTCACAGCACATTGTAAATTGCAAGGGATTTTAGTGAAATTGAGATAGGACTATATCTAATTGAGAGCACACAAAAGTTTGTAAGTAATTAATTTTAATTTCTTAATGATCTTCAAATTCTTCTTAAAGCCCCATCTGAGGAGAAGGGATCTCAATAAATGCAGCAGCATTTTCTGAGTGAGGACTACAAAACTTGGTCCCAAAGTAGAGAATGTTATTGCACTGAAATTTTCTCTCTGCCAAAGAAGGTAAACATTGGGGCATTTCTTATGAGGAGTTATCCATTCAACCTGACCTTCTGTTTAGCTTTGTTAAGAAAGGAATCACAGAGCCAATGTGTAGTCCACAGGAGGAGGGAAAGGGGCTCTCCTGATCTACCACACCTTCTCTGGGTGTCCTATGAGGTCCTGCTCAGCAGGCAAGAGAGGGTTTAGGCAGGAGGAGCCAGCACCCAGATGAGTGCAGGTGCTTTCCCACAAAGTGATCCAGGAAGTTTTTGTGAAGGTGACAGATGCAGCCTTTGGTGATTCAGCCTCTGGGTCTCTACCAGCCCAACTGCAACCTGTGCTGTGGTGCTTCTGTCTTCAGCCAAGTGCCACCCACTCCCAGCTCTGATGGGACAGAAGGAGTGAGTGCAGGACCCTGTGTTTTGTCACAGTTTATGGTGGTTATTTTACTGCAGTTGTTTACTGCCACACCCCAGCATGGACTCGCCCTACCACAGCAGAGATGTGGCCTGTTTCAGTGCAACTTACACCTGTGTAAAGCTGCTGTTGGGATCCTCTCTGCCTGTCTGCCATAGACTAAGCAGCCTCTGGCAGTGGAGTAGGACTTGTTGCTCCTGTTGGGTATAAGAAGGGTGTCTATGTGTCATCAAGCCACTTTCAAATGTGGGTCCTTCTCTATTCACTACCTAACTCCCCATAGGATGTCTAAATAAATGCAGCTCATTTCTCAGACTATTTAGATTACTGGCTACCCCAGATTACAAATTTTGAGCACACTGGGTGGTTTTGCCAAGGGGAATCGCTCTCCACTATCCAAGAGGATAAGAGTGAAGTGGCATGTTTTTTGTAAAGGAGGATGCAAGTGGTTCAGCCAGATGAAGGGAAGGAAGAAAAACTACACCAGCACTGCACATAAATCTGCTATTGCTCCTGTCTGCTGTGGAAAGCTAGGGGAACAGTCAGTAAGGGCACATGGGCAGTTGTGGGGGTGTATTTTTAATTACTTTTGGAAAAAATGCTAATTCTGTTGCTTGACAGGAAAAGTTGTGACAGGCATGTATTTGCTGCTACGGTGCTCTGCCAGTTGTACTGACAAAAGCCCCTCACCCATAGAAATACCCCTGGCAGTCAGCATAGGAGAGGCAGTTGCAGTGAACAGATCAGCAAAATGCGTATTTGAGGGATCATTCAAAAGGCAGTTCTAACACACAGCCTTCCTGTGTCCTTGCCATGCACTGCTGCTTTTCCCTGGCCAGCCCTCCAAGCTGCACTGGGAAAATCAGGGTTCCTTTTCATGCTGTTGAAACTTCGCAGCACTGAATTGGGCTATCTGTGATAAAAACAGGACACGTTGATGCCCTTTTACCTCCACATTTAAAGCATTAGGTTTCACAACAGCAATGAATCTCACTGCTATTACAGCACTTCTTGTAAGTCCTACTGTCATAGTCACAAACTGAGTCACCTCTCGTGAATCAGTATCTGCCTCCAAACTGAGTGATAGTAAAAGGATTTTTAAAATAGCAATAAATTACCGTTAGAGAGAGGTGTTTGTCATTGTGAAATTATTTGTGCCAATACTTGTAAAGGTTATTTGCTGGGACCTGAGTGAGCCCTAGAGTGAGTTTGGACATTGCTGCAGATACACCAAGTGCTGAGACTTGTGTCTGATGCTGGTCAATGGCCCTATCCATTCCACGTCCAGCTGAACTTTTCATTCCCCCCATAGTAATCTTTAATCTTCAGTTTTCATCCTTAAATTAACAAGAACAGATGCATTTTAGTTAAATGCTCTTCCTATGCCTAATGTTTTTTCTTCTTTACACACAAAGGATATAATCCAGCATCCATGATAATGACTGGGGTAACTCTCCCATGGACTGTATTGAAGTTTTTTTTTTAGGCCTGAATTATTCCACCACCAGAGTTACCTGGGTGCCTATTTTTGTAATACTGTTGCTGCCTTTCCATGTTGTATCTAATTTTTTAAAGTATACTTACTGCTGTAGCAAGACCTATATTATGTGAGATTGAACAAAACAGGTTAAAGATCTGAAACACCTTCCCAAGAAGAGAGTGAGTGTGAATTCTATGTATTTGTTTTACTGGTCAGCCAACCTGTTCCCTATTATGTAAGATCTTCTAGGGATGTAGAGATGTTTCCTGCAGTCACACGTAACAACTACTCTTCAGTTCACTCTTACTTGTCTCTCTAGAAATGAAGCAAGATCTCCTAGTTTCAGAAGGGGTATGTGCTATGTGCTCATAAGAGTTTGGGACCTTTTCAATGTGTATCTAATTGTTTATTCCCTTGAATTGCTTAAATTCAAAAGCAGGAGAGATGCTCATGACGGGGTAAGAAATAAATAAAAAAAAGGAATACACCTAATTTACAGAAATGTGGCATCAGTACTGTGAGGTGTGGGATGACACCTCTTCTGTGTCTAGTCTGTATTGCATGAGCATAATATCCTTGTTGAGGGAAGACCTAGAGACAGGGGCTGATGTTTCTCAAAAGTGGTATGTAAATGCTGTCTTTATTCTGGTAAAATGCTAGAAGGAATGGGAGGCTTGCTTGGCTTAATGACTGCAGCAGGCAACCC